ATTTTTACATTCTTTCTCTAACCTTATTTTCAGGACATGGAATATTTTTGAAATTGGAATTTAAATTGTACCTTTTTCAATTGAGAATGTCACCATAATTTTTAGAATGGCACCTGTCTTGAGAGAAGCATGAATGTTTCCACTCCTGGGCAAGCAAAGCGAGTCATGTTCTAGAGAGAATTAAGTTTTCAAGTTAGATGTACCAAAGTTACCACTTCATATCCCATGGTCAATCAGTCATCAATATCAGCTTTAAAGTCTACAGTTTAGAAGAACTCCAGTGTTGATTGTTAAACATATTTATTACAGTGGTGGACGCTCCTGTGGTGTACAGATTGGTGTTAGGCATGTTGTTAAGCCTCCTGTGCAAGCTTTGTGCTGCTGACATCTTCCTGAAGCTTTGTAACTGAGGAGCTGGCCCATTGCTGTCTCTGCATCTCTTGTGGCTGCAGAGTCATCACAGATTGTCTTTCCTCTGAAGCTCATGTGTCAATGAAAGGCACAAATTTCCTATACACTGAAGTATTTTATTTGATAACTAGTAATTGCAACAAAAGCCATTGAAATTTAATGAAAGAAAAAACATGTGAAAGACGATTGAATCAATTCTTTTGGTATCAGCAGAGTCTCAATATACTTTATCTTGTGAAGTTCATTCTTAAACAGTTTCTTAGGAACTTTTTGTATCCCACTGTATCCGAGGTGGTTTCTTATACTTTCTAAATTTTGGGTTGAAATCCCATACCAGTTAAGTATCACGGTAGAGTCTAGTATGTGCCGTCTTTTTTATCTAGTTTCACCTGGAAAAAAAATCAGTGCATAGGTGGCATAAATACTGGCTGGGCACACAACAAATGCTATCTATGTGATTCAAGCACAGACAACTGTTTCATTCTGGAATCAGTGGTTACGTGCTAAAAAAGAAAAGATATAATCAACTGTATTTTTGTTTTAACTGTACTGTTCTGATCTCTAGATTCAGAAATTAAAATAAATATTACACTGGCCCTGAAGCTTGGAAATCTGCATTTATTTGTAAAAAATCCTCAGTGAATAAAACAATAAAAAATTACGTTTTTAATAAAAAAGTAATACCTAAAAAAAATCCACTATTATAAATAAAGCAAGCTTGTTTTTAAATAAATAAAAAGAGTCAAAAACAATGAATCATTGAACTGTGATATACTGGGACCAAGTGCCTTCAAGACAGATACTGTAACTCCAAACCATTTGATCTACCAAAGCTGGCTTTAGACGGACTTGCTTAAGTCCGAAACTTGTCAAGAAACTTGCTAAGCTTTATTCTTTTGATGTGAAAATTTTGTATATGATTATACTTTTTTCTCTGAATGCGTTTCTCAGAACTGACATAGTCTGAATGAGCAGTCAGCTAGTTCCTACATAAGCCTAGCAGTTTTCTTAGATTCCCAGGAAATAAAAAACAGTTTTCACCTTATTCCTATTCAATTCTTTTGAAAAGTACTCTAAGATACATTGTCAGGAGAAAATGCAGGGCTTTGGATCCTGAGTGAATGGAAGCATCCTCCTTGCATTCTTGATTTTGGCAATTAGGTTCAAAACATGGCATCTTCTGTTAACTGGATATACATTGCTTGTTAATAGCATGTAGTTTTTTGGATCATTTTTCTGAAATATCTGATTTTTCTCATGCATTCATACCGTTTAAATATTTTCCTTTACAATTTAGGTTTTGTTCTGGCTGTGTTGGAATGATAATAACTATAGTCAAGAAACCTAAGAACCTTACTGGGTCTATCCTTAAACTCCTTTCTGTCCAAATTAAACACATGTTAATATTTTCTGATATTGCAACTTTATAAAATGGATATTTTTACTGAATAAAAATATTACATTCTACAGATGCTCACAAAAAGTTATCTTCTGTGAAAGTCTAATATGGTTGTTTTCACTATGAGATAGGATTCTATTTTGCTTTGTCTCCTAGCTAGTGAAAATACATAGTGTGAAATAGGGCAGAGAGCTACATTAACTCTCCAAAACTGAAAGAAGACTTCGGAATTAACTCATGTTAGTTGGTTGCTGTACTGAAACAGCTGCTTTTTAATGTGTGACCTGTTGGTAGTTTATTTTCTGGCAACAAAGCATAGAGAATATTAACCTGTTTCGTTGAACACAGCTTAATATGTCTAGTTTTGTTGATGCAAAATTATTAGGAGTGCTGATAGTTTCTGCCTTTTGAAATTGTTATAAGGAAGCACTATCAGTGTTAGTCACCAGAAAGCATTGCATGTCTGCTTCCAATTTAATGTAAAACATTTTTTGAGCAGGATTATACTTGACAATTTAATTAGACAGTCATATATTTTGATTTATTACAACAATAATGTGCAAGTGGTCAACTACCAGAGCAAGTTAGAGCTGGAGGAAACTTTTTGTTTCAAAGTAGTTAATTTCTTTATGTATACAGATTTAATAAATTTAATTATTTTGATTTACTCACTTCTAGGAATTTTTTAGACAGAGTAGGTTTTTTTTCTTTGTGTTTTATTATTTGAAATCCTTTCCCTTCACTATATTCATTCAGGTCACATACCATATGCTATTATTCATTCCCTTTGTCCTTTGGTGTCTACTGTACATACCAAATATTGTATAAAACTGTTGATTTAAATGTTAGGGTTTTTTTAAAGTATTTTCCCATTTCTTCGTAACTTGCTTTTCACCTGTGATTTTGGATTTATGCCTTTCTGGAGATAACTTCTTATTTTCCCAAAATGTATCAATTTATTCTTTAAAGATTAGAATCTTTCTGCTGCTTTAAGATTATCTTTAGAAATGTGTTTATTTCTCATTGTTATTTACAATGCTTTTCAATTAACATAATCAGAAAAAAATAACTGATAAGGTATTTTCCAGAGTTTTCAATTATTTTAATGAAAATATTAAACCTTGTTGGAATAAGTTGATCACTGTGAAATCAGAAAAGATGTGTTTTGTGTTGTAAGGATACTGTTTGCAATTAATCACCTAGTCTTAGTGAAAAACCAAGCCTTTCCAAATTATTCCAATTTCAGTTGGGCTTCTCTGTAGAAAATATGAATTTGGGGTTTTGTTTTATTTCAGTATATGGTATGATATCATATTGTATTAGCTGCTGGTTAAACTATTTATATGATGAGTTGGTAAAAAAATGATAGATCTTTCCTTTATTTATCGGCCTTTATCACAGCTCACTCCACCAGACTTGATGGCCTTTCCTCTTAATTAACATAAGCAGTGTTTCTCTTCTTCAGGGGTCAAAATATCTTTATTATACTGGTATCTTTGTACTTGAATGGTTAGTGAGCAATATCCTGTTTTGATAAAATTCCCCATTTCTCCTGTGGTGATTTCACCCAGAACAGTGTTGCACTGGTCCTTATATGCCATATCAGTGCGTATGCTAATAAGTGTACCTCATACACGGGATAAAAGTCTGTAGTTCATAACTGTTTCTCAACTGAGACTACATGCAGCATGACTTGATTGCTTTGAGGTGATGAGGGACTATTTGATCCTTAACGTTGTTATATTAATGGAATGTAGTGATGATGTGTTGTTTTTTCCCTTTATGTACACACCTGCACACACACACACAAAGCAGCTTACACCTAAACATAGGAGGAAGAAGTTATTTATGAATTAGAATGGTTCATATATATCCTCGGTCCTGAGGCTATGCAATAAATAGGAATACTTAGCTGGAAATATCTAACATTCTTAGAACCATAAAAACAACTGAATTAACGAGGTTTTGCTTAGGTGCTTACTGAACATTTTCCAGGAACAAAACTGTTAACAATCTGGATTAGAAGACCAACTACTCTTGGACTTTCAGAAGCATCTAATAGGAAAAGAATTACAGTATTATGAGCCAGAATTTTTCCACTGCCAGGTGGATCTCTAAATATCCGTTACTTGGTTACTGTCTTCATAACAAAAAGTCAGTTATATCAGTTGTCTTAACCACTAGGTGCTGTTTGAAGACCTATTTCTGCAGAATGTTATCACCAGATTAAGATTTATAGGTCTTCTATTTCTTACCATTGCATATTAATTTGATGTTCACAAAATTTGTGAAAACTTCTTTGAAACTGCTGTATATCTGGCATCTCTTTTTCGCAAAGAGTATTGTACCCTGAGACAGTGAATTCACCTTTTTCAATTTGAGGCAGACAGTCACTTTAATACATGCAGCTTTTTAAAAAACTTTTCTTAAAAGCCTACATAAAATGGCCCTGTGGTAGCCTTTTAAGCTATCATAATTGGGAAGGCTTTTGCTTAGACCATAATGCCTTCTATTATCCTGATTCAAGATTAGCTCCAGGAGGTAAGCAAGTGTTTGCATGGCCTTAGCTCCTATGTTCGTGAAGGATTCATGTTGTTTAAATTCAGACATGTGAGTGAAATCTGATATTGAGTCATTGTTACTTTAATTGTATATACAATCTTTACAAATACAAATCTTTCTTGAATGCAAACTGCATATTTAACCCTGTAGTAGTTTCCTATCCCAAATTTTTAAATTGAACTTTGGTTCAGTTTTAATTGTGGACATTTCTGTTTGACATATATTATACGCAATCGTTACAATACAATTTTAATTAGAAAATGCAATAATCCATTTTGTACATTGTTCTAAGGAAAAAAAGTCAGTTTTATTAGTTTTATTATTAATACATCATATTGACCACAAATAAATGGCAAATTTGGATATTTTGGTTATTATAAATCCCCAGTTTGGTGCATGACAATTTATTTCTATGCTTTTGAAGTATAACTGTAGGAACCATAGCGGTACTTAAATTAAGCATAACAACAGGAATCAACTTTACATATATATTTTTTATTGCAAAAAACAAGAAGACATGATAACATTCTTGATCAAATTCCATCTTTTATCATTTAACTGCTACAGATATGGTAGGAAATTAAAAAGTTCAATTTCACATTAACTGAATATTTGCATTTCTTTTTAGATTATCGACATAATGGGAGAGATCTTCAAAGTTCAACGCTATCAGTGCCAGAACAAGTTATGTCATCTAATCATTGCTCTCGATCAGGGTCCCCTCACCGTGGAGATAGTATAGGACGGACTAGATCGTGGTCTCCCAGTGTCCCTCCCCCACAAAGGTAAATTATTTAACTATGCAGATATCTAAATTTAAGTTGTATTGATCCTGTAACAATACTGGAAAGAATCTCCAGACTTTCAAAATGGCAATGAATTAATTAGATCTTATGAAATTATGTAAATCAAGTAGTTTTTTTTCTTATATTATACTGATGTGCAAAAATTCACCTAATTTTGTCTCATTTTTCATAAAAAATCAGTACATTCCGATCTAAGGAAAGGAAAAATATTTATCCAGATTTTCATTTTCAAGAGGTATTTAGAAGGTGCCATGTTCTATAGCATGTGATGATTTGACATTTTCTTAGCATTCATTTGTCAGCAACTGTTTTCAACCCTTTTGTTTGCATAGTATTGAGGTTCTGGGAAAGCCATGCTTCCTGCCTGCAGTAACTTTCATTCTACTATTTCTTCAAACTTTTGAAGCATCAAGAATAAATTGACACATATACAATTTTATACTGAAAAATGTCAACTCCGGATCATAGAATGCCTCTGATCACTTATTTATCTTGTGAAACAAATATCAGGACATTTCTTCTGAAAGCTAGCCATTTTGGATAATGACTATTACATAATTGAAAATACTGTTTAAGCCAGAATTAAGAATTTTCCTGCATTGATAAGCTTTCTTAAGACGAAGCAGAAGGATAGATTTAAAGGGGAATGAAGCCTGTTTTCTAGCATTTTTGTCACTGTGTACGGGTAGGTCTCCAGTTGGTGTAATTCCATTGGAATAAGATTTTTTTGCTTATAATGCTCACAATTCCCATTTAATACTCAATATCTGGTTTCCAATATTTCCAGTCAGGTACATGAGTGTATCCCTTTCTTCTACAGCCATTCTGATTCTCTTGTGTTCTGCTTTCCTATCTATTATCTTTGTTCTTTTTTTTTTCAGCTTAAAATTCTCTTGACTTCATACTCTCTTACTTATGTGTTTACCTACAATTTCCTGTAACAGATACAGACTAAATGATAACCTTTTGCATTAGTGAGGTTATTAGGATCCCAAATTATCCCATATCATCACAGACCGTTAACAGGCAGAAACTGTAAGTTTTTACTTGAAATCTGAAGCCACACGTAAATACAGCCTGACTTCAAATGAGGCATAAACAGTAGACACAGAGGAGCCTATTCTACTATACTGATTTCAGTCTAAGTAATGGCCTGTGCTAAATTTGTCCTGGATATAGACATAAATGTGAGCAAAAGTGCTTTGTGTGATATGCACGCATGAACGTGTGTTTGTGCATGCGTGCATGCTGTGTGCATTTTCAGCAGAACTTTTACCCAAGCTAGTAATTAACAGTTGTCTGACACCATTGAAAAACTTTATTTTCATTTTCTTGTAATTTTGCATTTCTTTGCATGTATGAAATGTTTCTTGCTTCCTGACTTTCCTGAAGCTGAATTTCTAAATACAATTTTGGACTTCCGGATAAAAATGTTTCAGCTATTTCCTACATTTCACATTCAAATGCATTATTTACATAATATTTCCCTGCCCCCACATCAAATAATTTCTTTGAGAACTTGTTGAGCCAATAGAATCAGGTTGTCAGAACTTGAGAGTTTGTAGAAAACAAGCATAATCCTTGGGTTACAGAAATTACTTTTTTATTTCTAATGAAAATCCAGGTGTACTTGGCAAAGCTATAAGCATTGTTAATCACATTTGCATCATGTTTAGTAGAGTTTGTTATAAACATGCTGCTATAGACATGTGCTAGCTGCGGTAGGCATGCTGCATGCCCAAAGATCTCCCAGTTACTGATTGATGCCTCTGCAGACAGGAGCTCTTGGACCATAGAAGTGCAAGTTGCTGTTATATCTTAGAAGCCATTTTGCAGTCCTCAGTCCTTCTACTGGACTTTGTTACAAACTCCACCAAAACCACATTGCATAGTAGCTGAGAATAAATTATTACTCCTCTTGTAATGTTTTCAGCTATTATATTTAATTGATTGTTATTCTCTGCAGATAAGAATGGAGTTTAGACTGTGGCAGGCTCTGAAGAATGTCATGTTTAGCTTTTTCTAAGACTGTCCATTTGAAAAAGCAACATTAAGGTGACTATAGAAAGTGGCTAGGCTGAAATGGTGTGATAAATTTAGTAGGATGCTCATTATTGTCTTCCATCACTACCTGCAATTACACATTTTCAGGTGCTTATCTGTTGCCTGCTTGCTCTGTACATGTTCTGTCAATTGCAAGAAAGTTACAAAGGAGTGAAGACATATATTGTGAAAGCAACTTTTATTATAGAACAAGTTTCATTGGAGAAAGTATGTCATTTTCTGTTAAATAGTAAATCTGGCTGATGAAGACATCCTTAGCAGAGTGAAACAGAACAGGAATAGTGATAACACTTTGAAGTAGAGAAATACAGTTGTGTAGGATGTTACAAAGCAACATGAAGTCAGAATCTGATGTTGTACAGAAATGTAAAAAATAATTTATTTAGAACAATAAACTAATGAAACAATCTTATTGAAAGTGATTTGAGCTGATAGGATGGTTCTGAGTTTTCAGGACTAAGGCTTATAATCAGAGTTCAGGCAGGAGTTTTGATTGTGTGGGCAGACAGCAAAGGTCAGATCTTTGAGAAGTTTTGCATAGAAATGAAAGTTTGAGAAATCTTAAATGTCTAAGTCAAAAGAAGAGATAAATAAAATAAGATGATAATACTATAGACAGAAAAGAACCCAAGGTTTTTTATTTTGAAATCTGAACAAAAAAAGACCCTGAAAAAATGAGTCAGACAGAAACCAGAGTTCAGAAAAGAGGAATGAGAACTGGTTGTTGCGAAAATTAAAAAAATTAACTAAGAACAGCAGAGGACCCCTGTCAATATCTGTTTTAGAGTACAAATATGAATGACAGAGTCCAATGGCAGGGTAAAGGCTATTCTGGATTTTCTATTGTTTTCATATAAATAAGGCATTAAAACATGTACAGAGAAAAAGTTGCAGGAAAGAGTTGTTGAGTGGAAGGTAGAAGATTTATACCCACTTTTAATGTTGCAAATACAAAATTTACTAGCCAGAGTAAACTTTGTATTTGGCTTCATGAAAGCCAGAATGGAGAAATGCTTTATGAGAAATGAAGTACAGCCAAAGACAAAAGTTTATGTGTAGTGCAACATCTTCATAGCACTTATACGCAGAAGTAAACGACAGCATGGCAGCAACAGTGAAGGATGCACATACAGATTAACATCAGGGATTGGCAAATGACAAAGGGTAAAGATGACAGGTACCAAAGAGCAGACAAAGTGACAAGGAAGACCACAGGAACTGAATGGTATAGAAGTGGAAAAAAAAAGAAAAAAAAGAGGCCCACATTAGGGAAGACTGCAGGAAAGGTCAGGAGGCAAAATAATTTGTTGGTTTAAAATTTGAATTTGTGTGGAGGGAAGCATGCAAACTATTATTTTCAAATCTATACGAAACAATTATGTTTTAATTATCCAGTAATTGTTACAGTTAACTGTTGACTTTCTATCTTCCTATTCTTGTGGATTTGTTTTACAGAGCAGAAAAAATGAAGTTAGTGTATATCAGTAGGTATTAATGGTTAAACTGAGTAAAGCAATCAATGGTCATAGCTTTGGTCTCAAATAGTACAAAACTGTAGAAGTGACTGGTGTTCTTTAATGAAGCCTGTACCATGTTTTACCTAATGAAACAGTTCTGCCTTTTTCAGTTTCTGTGCTAGTGAGATTACAGAATAAGCTTTCCAGTGCAAAATAAGCATTTACTGTTGAATTCAGATGACAATGTTTTCATCAAGCTGCACTTTACCGTAACAGCCGAAAGTCCTCATTGCATCTTACTAGAGTATACATCTTTATAGCATAGCCAGACTCAAGAGCTCATGGATAAATTCTTCACAATGTATGCTTCAGCTAGAAAGGAAATTTTCCTTGAAGGTACTAGTCTAGAAAGACTAATTAAATTGTGTCTAAAGTTAACCTTTTTAAATAAATTAATTGTATCCTTTCATTTCCAGAACAAACAAACATTGACACAACAACAAAAAAAACCCAAAAACCCTCAAACCCTATCCCTATCATGGACTTAGCACCTTTTAATGTAAGATAGTTTTTTTTTTTTTACCATGACATTGAAAATTATGTCAGAGTAAAAGCATACAAAAGACAGGTCAGGTAACACATCTCCTTATCACCATGTTTGCTAATAACTGTCTATACAAATCTGATGTCTTTTATCCTTAGTCGGAATGTGGATCAGGGACTACGAGGGACTCGATCTACTCCTGCGCATTACAATACCCTGAACCGAATGGATAGACACCGTGTAATAGATGACCACTACTCCCCGGACAGAGAGAGGTAAATATCTGACTGGAATTAGAAACAGCTCTATCCTACATTCATCGATGTGAATTACTTCAGCCCGGTAGCTCACTAAAGTAAATAGGAAAATTACTTACCTAATCCCACAGATGACCATTTCCCTACTTGTTTATCCGCTGGTTACATGATATACATTAAAAAATATACAGTGCACACAAGGCTGACAAAACTGTCAAGTTAGTGTATGTTTGCCGAGAGGAAATCTGAAAAATCTATGAGAAATTATGCAATATAAAAGACAAATAGTTTTGTTCTTTTTACTAAGAATATTTTTATGTACTATATTAATAAATGCTTTAAGTGCTGAATATCTTGGAAGAAATCTAACAGTAGATTTGGTCATTTTTGCTGCTGAATAAAGAGGCATAAAAATGGATAATTTCAGCTCAGTATTAATGTAAGGCTCCCATTGGATAGAGTGCAATTCACAGACATAACAAAAGTATATTCTAGCACTATGTTTGTCTTTTCTGAATTTTATGAGCCATTTTTTGTGTGTGGGAAAAAATAAAGGGTTGTTGCAATGTGTGTTACAATGAAATCAGGGTCTTTGTATTTAGAAGCACGTCTTACCATGTTTTGCCTAATGGAACTTCTCAAGGAGTGAGCAGAGCTGTAGCAACCTCTATGAGTTTTAATGCTGTAAAAAAGAATTGCAGGCAATAGTTGGCTAATGTAGTTAATTTTACTGAATTAATTATGGTGGTGCCTTTGTGACATTATAAAAAAATATTGATAAGGTCTTTCTCACCTCATTGTCTTCAGGTCAGAAAATCAAAAGAAAAAGTATTTTTTTACCTTTAATTTTGAAAACCTTCCGGCTTCTTATACACCAAGATAAAAACCTGCACATTATAATCAGAGAGGCATGACTGATAGATATTGTCCCATTTCATAACTGCATATAGCAAGGAGTGATACAGATGTATTTTGTAATCTTATGAAGTGCTATGTGACTAGTATTTGAAGTTAGTACTGTTAAGGATGATTATTAGAGGTTATTCCTCAAGTGACATCAAAGCATATAATAAGTGTTGCTAACTGTAATACAAAGAATGTAAGAAATCAGTGGCTTTTTGCTAGCAATATTGATCAGAAAAGATGAATATTTCTTAAAAGAACTTTAATGTGATGATCAATGAATATTTCTTAAAAGAATATTAATGTGATGGTCAATGATTTTAAGGAATGTAAGATAAAGTTTATCAGGAAAAGAAATTATAATTAATTGTTTCTAATTAGTTAAGTTGGAAAAAAGAGTATTAAAAAAAAAAGCGCATATCTATTCAAGTGATTTACAATTGAATTTGGCCAAAAAAGATCAAATGGGTCAAAAAATTAAGATATTGAAAAGCAATCAAGTATTTATTATCCAGAATTATAATTGTAGTCATTACAAATATAATAGATATATAGGTGAACCTCTTTTTTTGCATGGAACTGTTTAATATTTCTGTTTATGTTATAGAAAAGAATACTATTTAGTTGGTTCACGAGGCTATCTGATTTTCATACAGAAGGCAATAACTTAAGGATTCTGAGCCGTTTCCTTAAAAGAAAAGAACGGAATACTTTTGGGATAATTGATTTTTAGACTAGTCATCCCTGAAATAGGATCTAATCTTGTCCTTAGAGCCTGTATATGCCCTACGGAATGCTCCTGAGTTTGTTTACTGTACGAGTTTATTTACTGCCTCCCAGATAAACACATAGCAGTGAAAGGTGGCCTGAAGTACAGCACCACAATCTTTCTCCATCACTTCAGTCAAATGTGGCCTACAGACTGGCTTGGCTTAGAGAAAGAGAATTGTTTTTTTAGAATATGTCAGAAAAAAACATGTCAGAAAGTTGTTGGTGATGAAATTATTCAATTTTCACGTAACCATTCTAGATGAAGATATATTTGCTTGTTAGGTGTGCTCCGAATCTCTGAATACAGGTTTATATGTCATCTGTATTTTCCAAAATGCACACAAAGGTTCTCCTATTTGTACACGGTGAGTGGTTGCCTGTGAAATCAGATGGTTACTAGTTATGCCTCTATTGCAACGTACAGTCTCTGAAGCATATTGATCTTGGGCAACACTCAAGAGAACAGAAAAAGACTATTCCCAAACATTAATCATGTTTTATATTCATTGCTAGTTTGACAGTGGTTTTATTAACAGAAGGATTGTTAGACTTCAAATTTTGTTACTGAATATTTGTGATACATAACAAAAAACAATGATGCATACACAAATCCCTAAAGTAACTTTAATGGTATTAATTCTGCAAACTGCTGGAACTGCAAGCAGTTGGGAGAACTGGAAAACCTGAACCTTTGTATAGGTTTATGATCTCTCTACTTGTCATCTTTGTTTAATTCCACACTTACCTTTGAAAAAAACCCACACTTTCCCACTGCTCTGATGGTTTGTTGTTTCTATGGTCCATTTTCCCCTTGGAGCTGTTTGTAAATAAGAGACTGAAAAAGTACCGTTTTGTAGAGTGTATGTAGCTCAATTGCTAAGTTAAAATCTGACTGAGAACAGGAGTAAGAAAATTCTTTCCTTCATTTTGTAGATAATTCAACATAAAGTTCTCTAATGTTTATGGCACTAAGGAGTTAGTTGAAACCACATACAAAAATATCTAATGACCTCAAGTGTTATGGCAATGTAAATATTCCTTCAAAACTGAATGCATAGTTAGAAGTGAAAATCAAATTATTTAAAAAAAAGCTGAAAGACATTTTTTTCTTAATTTAATTTGAGATAATCTGATTTTCAAACACCAGGCCTTTAAATATGTCAAATTATATACTGATTTTTGTTGACAGGGTAAAGTTACAGTTAAAATATGTATCTGTGGTGGTATTATCAAAAATGTCAGAATTATGCTGTGTATACTGGTATTTCAAAGTGGGGGATCAAATTAAATTGTTACCTATATATTTAGTATAGATGTACTAGTTCATTATTGTCAAAACTCAAGGAGTTTTTCTGCAAGTACCCACAATGTTTTATGGAATAGCCTGATTTGTAATGGAAAGAAATATGAATGCTTATGACCTAAAATAGTCTCAATTTCCATAAGATCCATATCTGTAATGGGATAACCTTGTAAACTTCAGTTTGACATGTTTTAATAAACTCTCTGAAGCAGACTTTTACCTCACTTCAGAAACTAAAGCTAATCTAACTATAGAGAAAATGTTGGAAACAGCCAGATTTGATCTGAGAGTTTTATATTTAAGCTATCAATATAATTAGGTGAATTATATAGGAACAATGTGAGAATCTTAGTGTAGTTCCAAAAACAAGACATCTGCCGAAACTGTATCTGATATATATATTACTTTTTGAAAGATATATCAGCAGTTAACAACAAACACCAAGACAGTGTAAGGAAATTGTACTCAGGACCAAAGCTCTAACCAGTTTAGATACTAATTAGTAATTGTTAATCTTACTATATTCTTTATTCTAGATGTGCTCTCCCTGAGGAATGAAATTGCCAATGGTGAATTTAGCACAGATATAGTAGGCTAGAGCATTCAGAGAATGCTTAACTCAAAGATTCTTGCAATGGAAACGTATGAGAAAACTCCTGAAGTACAAATGTTTTTGTACTAGGCACTTACAAGGAAATAAGAAAAAAAGCAAGTTAAATTTCGGGTTTGCTATCCCTTCATCAGGACTATTGCATAGTTTCCATTTTAAAGAACAAAAGTTGTTATCTACTATGTTAAAGTAACGAGGCAGTCATAGCCATGATTACTTAAAGAAATATCCTCCGTTATGTTTAAGTCATTTCAGAGATGTTATCTTAGAATCATAGAATCACAGAATGGTTTAGGTTGGAAGGGACCTCAAAGATCATCTAGTTCCAACCGCCCTGCCATGGGCAGGGACACCCTCCACTGCACCAGGCTGCTCAAGGCCTCATCCAGCCTGGCCTTGAACACTTCCAGGGATGGGACATCCACAAGTTCTCTGGGCAACCTGTTCCAGTGCCTCACCACCCTCAGAGTGAAGAATTTCTTCTTTATATCTAATCTAAATCTACCCTCTTTCAGTTGAAATCCATTGCCCCTTGTCTTACCACTATGTACCCCTCAGGTACAGGAAGACTGCTTGGTATCTGGGACTAGCATCCGTAGGGGATGGGCATCTGGGATCAGATGGTATCATCCCACTGGGACTGGTGTCTGGGACAAACATACCATCTTGGTATGCTGGGACTAGCATGACTAACACCGCTATAAGCACATGTAAATACAACCTGTCTACTGAACACTTTGTTTCATGCTGTTGAAAGAAGTGGGTTTTTTAAACATGTCTTAAAGTAAATGCCAAAATAACATGCAAAAAATTCTGGTTACTATGGTCAAACCACCGAAGACCAAAATAATTCAGTACCACGAGTCTGCTGCATATTAGATAAGGTGCCATTTAAGTAGCTGCTTCCATTATTTAACACAAAATTAAATGTGGCCAAAAGCAATACAAATTCTACATTGCAAAAAGTCACCTCACACTAGCAGTTGCTTTTTCTATACATAGCAGGATCCTAATCCAATGTTGTCAATAGCTAGGTGTCGGATTAGGTCAAACTAGGAAAAGAGTTTTTGAGACATTGCACCATAGTGAAAAAGAGAAAATTTAGCTTTTTTTTATATATATTTTATTAAATACACAGCTGTATATGTAATTAAGTAATCATTTATTATTTAGTTCATATTTTACAATATGATCATTTAAGTCTATATTACAGATACAATGATATTATAAAGAGTAGCTGATGCTTTATGTGGAAATTTTGAGATAACATCTTCAGTTTTTAGTTATGTATGTCATATGGGTACATACCCATATGAGGGTATGCGACATTATTTCTTTGTTTCTTCAAATACCTAGTAAATTAAAAGAAATGCGTTACTGAAAGTTTTTTTATAGCTATGTTATAAAATCATATGCTTCAACTTAAATCTC